GGGACACTGCCCACTGCCCCATCTTGGTCCCACACTGACGCCTCTTGTTGTCCCGTCTCCGCAGGCCCAGCTGGTGGTTCTGTGCCTTCCCGTACAGCTTCCTCATCTTCGTCTATGACGAAATTCGCAAACTCATCCTGCGCAGGAACCCCGGGGGTGAGGAGCTACGGAGGCATGAGGGCGGGGCAGAGGGGTGGCCAGGGGACCAGGCTGGGGCCTCGGGGGTGGGGCGGGGCACCCCGGCGGCTGGCCTGGCGCTAACCTCACTCTCTGTCTCCCCACCTCCCTTCCGTGTCCACGTCTCTCCCTCCCCTGTCCAACCCATTCCTCCCCCTGCCTCTCGGGCCTCCTCTCTGTCCATCCACATGTGCCCTCTCCTTGGTTCCTTCCTGTGTGTGTCTCTCTCTGTCTTGGTGCTTCTTCCCATGCCCGTCTCTCTCCGTGTCTGTTTCTCTCCTCTCCAGGTTGGGTGGAGAAGGAAACCTACTACTGACCTCAACCCACCACCTCACCTGTCTCCTCCCTGCCCCCGAAGCCCAGGAGAACCCCCTCCAGTCCCCCCAATTTTGTATTCTCTGGGGAGGGGCCCTCTCTCCCCTTGGTCCCCACCTTGGCCCCACCCCTTCAAAGTATCTCGGGCCCCCTCCCTCGGTTCCCATCCCCTGCTGGCTTCTCCCCCCCCATCCCTCCCACCCCCCATCCCCACCTGCCTCTCTCCTCTCTTTTCTGTGTCTCTGTTCCTCTCCCTCTCCTCCCTCTGCTCCCCAGCCCCCATCCTGGGCTCTTTTTTACTCCCCCTCAGCGCCCCCCACCCTGGCTGATGCCATCTCTGGTTCTGGACAATTATCAAATATATCAGTGGGGAGAGAGAAACGTGTGTGTTGTGCTGCTTTCTGGACTGGAGGGGGAGGGGGAAGAGGTGCTGGGACATGTGGCTGGGGCATTCACACAACGCCAGGAATATGGACTGTCACCAGCTTGGGAATCGCAGAATCTCAGGGTTCGAGTGGAAGCAAGCAGCTTGAATTCCACCGGCGACAGATGACAGGCGATGGGAGGATGGGGTCAGAACCAGGGAAGAGGAAGTGCGTCACACCTGGATCCTCTCTCATTGGAAGAGGGCCTCAAAGAGGCGATGACAGTGATTACTGTGATGACGTGATGCTGGCGACTCACTGAGCATCTACTCTGTGCTCTTCCCTCTTCGCACTCTCTTTATATATACACATGTTTAATCCTCGTGGGTATGAGGCACAGAGAGGGAAAATGACTTGCTCAAGGTCACACAGCTGAGAGGAGCCAAATCTGGGATTTGTAGAGGCTATCCAAGCGCTAAGTCACTGTGTTATTTTTTTTTTTAATTTTTTCTCTCCTTTTAAATTAATTCGAGAGAGAGAAAGAGAGAATGGAAAAAAAATCGATGTGAGAGAAGCATCAATGGGCTGCTTTCCGTAAGTGCCCCAACCAGAGATCAGACCCAAAACTTGGGTATGTGCCCTGATCGGGAACCGAACCTGCTACCTGTTGGTATATGGGATGACACTCCAACCAACTGAGCCACACTGACCAGGGCTCTCTCTCTTTTTACTGAGATAAACTCTCACATAGTGAAGTGCACAAATCTTAAAGACACAGCTCAACAATGTGAAAAATCACACCCACGCTGTACACCGGGCGGGTGTGGCTCCGCTGGCTGGAGCATCATCCCTTCGGCCACGCGTCACTGGTAGCCTTCTCTTCTGCATTGCTGTGTGTATTCCACTGCGTGACTCATAAAACGTGTCCATCTGTTCTCCTGTGGATAGACACTTGGGCTGTTTCCCTGTAGAGGGCTATTGTGATCGGTGCTGCTGGGAACAGGAACATTCTGGTATTGATATATTGGGTGGCTGCATAGCAGGGAGACTACTGGTCATGGGGTGGGCTCTGTTGAGCTTTCACTGAAACAGCCAGACCTTCCCCAAAGCTCTTGTGCCATTTTGCATTCCAATGGTGCCCGGAAGTTCCGTTTGCTCCACATCCTTGTCAACACTTGATATAGTCAGTCTTTTGAATTTTAGCCATTCTGGTTGGGCAGGTACACCACTTCCCTTGAGGCAGCCGTTCTAACACAGCCCTGAGATGTGAGTCAGCGGAGGGGCTGGGGCCAGGAGGCTAAGAGCTCACAAGGGTGAGTGAGTATGTGCGCTGCACAAAACAGTGCCGAAGAAGTGCCTGAATCAGGGGTGGGGATGCGTGAGCCCGGACCTTTCCTAGGGAGGCTGCAGAAACGACTTCATTCATCAGGTACCAGGTAAGAAATGCTCCCACTGAAACCGGTTTGGCTCAGTGAATAGAGCGGTGGTCTGCGGACTGAAAGGTCCCAGATTCTATTCCGGTCAAGGGCATGTGCCTTGGTTGTGGGCACATCCCCAGTAGGGGGGTATGCAAGAGGCAGTTGATTGTTGTTTCTCTCTTATCGATGTTTCTAACTCTCTATCCGTCTCTCTTCCTCTCTGTAAAAAACCAATAAAATATATTAAAAGAAAAAAAAATTGCTCCCAGAGATGAGAGGGTCGGGGGGAAGGGGACTTCCTTGAGGTCACACAGCAGGGATATAACCCAGGTTTCTGATGACCTGTATGTACTAAGGTCTTCTCACTCTCCCAGCTCTTCTTCCCCTGAGGATCCAAGAGGCAGGAAGGAGAGCTCAGGCTAGGAGGCCAAGGCCCACCTCCCACAGTCTTCTCAGGCAACCCCCTCACCTCCCAGCGTCCCCCTAATTCAGGGCCGCCTGCCATAGGTCTCTTCTCTCAAGGACCCAATCTCACACAATCCCTTTGTCTCAGGGATTCTCCCATCTTTCACAGTCTCTCTCTCTGCCTTGGGGCCCTGTCTCCCACAATAGCTGTCTCAAGGTCTCCCCTTCCACACTGTCCCCAAGACAAGGCCCATCTCCCCAAACCCCTGACTCAAAGTTTGATCCAAAGTTCCCCCATGCCTTGCGTAGAGGCCTCACCAACAACGTCCTGGCCCCTGGACCCCACTACTGTCCATGGCCCATGCTGTCAAACATCCGCAGGCCTCTGCCCATTGTGTCCTCTGCTCAGAGCAAGTACTGGTGGGTTAGGGAGTAAAATTGCTTTCATTGATTCCTGTAAGGCACTCCAACAGCTCTCATCACAAAAGTCAAATCCAAATTTCCCATCGCAGGCCATGCGAGGAGGCAGCTACTCTGGGCCTCTGCCTCCAGCTCTGCTCCCCAGCATTTATCTTCCTCTTGGGGGCTCTTTCGCTGGCGACCCCTGCTGCCCCCACTGCTTTGAACTCGGTGCTGCCCCATTAACACTCTGGGCTCCATGTGCACTCGCTGTCTTTCTTTGCTTTCTTGAAGCCAAGTGGGAAACCTGAACAAGACTGACCAAAAGCTGGGGCTGATAAGCAGAGAGAGCCAATCGGATCCTCACAGTGTGGCTCCTTCAACTTCAGTTTAGGACCCTCCTCAGGGGCCCCCTCCTATTGCCCCACTGGCCCCTTTGGCAGAGGGATGTCCCCCACCTCCTGGGAGGGCCCTCCAACACCCTTCTCCCAGCTCCTCCTGGGTAAGAGCAGGGTAGAGGCCCCTGGGCGCAGGCGCTTCCTGCCTCCCAGATCACCCTGTACCCATGCCAAGTTGATCGTGTGAAGTTTGTGTCTAATTCCCCAGCTGGCTGGCTCTTTGCCACTTCAAAGCCCAAACCCAAAAAAAGGATATGGACCTTGGAAAACAAGAATTGGGGTGAAGAGTCACCTGGCTATCCCTTGTGGGAATCCAGCCTTGAAAAATGAGGCCCTCAGTCCTGGCTTTCTGACACTTCGCACACATTCTGTTTTGTGCACCCTTTAGAATGCCAGTCATTTTCCCACAGCTCACTCAGAGGCAGGGTAGGGGCAAAGACTGAGAGAAACACGGATGTGGGAACTAGGGAAAAGAAAGACCCAAGTCTCAGATTTTGGGATATCCAAGAGGCCCACAGCCCTTAATATCTTGCTGTTAAATTTGAGGAGGCTGGACTCTGGAAATAACCATAGCATGCAAGATACTCTAGTAGCAATAACACCCACTATCATTTATTGAACTAAAGGTCAAGACTCAAAACACTTCACATGGACCACGTAGCTGAATTACGACAGCCCTGTTGAGTGTGGGTACTGCCAGGGTCTTCATTGTCTAGGGGAATCCACTGAGGGTCAGGGAGCTGATGAGGTCAACACAACCTAGATTTTCACCTTTCAGCTCTTTTGGTTATAACAACTCCCTTTTTAAAAATTTCAACCTTTTCCCTTTCCCAACTTCCCTCTTCCTACTCATGGAGGGTGGTGGCGAAGGGGGATGGGAGAGGAGGGTGTTTGTAGATTCCTGTTCATCTCTAGGAGCCCAAAGGTTGTGGGGGAAGTTTTGCTCCCCACCTCAGATACTGCTTCCAGCAACCATGGCCCTCTAACTAATCTCTGCCTCTTGCGGAAGGAAGTAAGATTCCTATGAATTCTCTACATCTCACTGTTCAAAACGTGGTCCTTGCACCAGTAACAACAGCATCAGATAAATGGGCCTCACCCCAGATCTGCTGAATCAGTGTTTTTATGAAGTCTCCAGGTGTTTCGTATGCCCTCTAGAGTCAGAACGACAGTGCTACCCGGTCCTTACTGTACCTAACAACTGCTTCTGCCTTTGGAGCTCCCTTAACGGCCATTAGTGACAATCTTCCCGATGCTACATCCCCCCCCCCCCGACTTCTGGAACTACAACTCCCACAGTGCCCAGAGGCGCTCGCGACTACATTTCCCAAGATGTTTTGCGAGCCAGACCGCCATCATGGAGCCCACCCTCCCCGGCATCAACAGAACTACAACTCCCACAATGCTTAGCGACAGAACGGCGCCACGTAGGCTCTGCTGGGTGGGGCCCGGATCCCGAGGGGCCGGCGGGGTCCGCAGGACCCAGGGCTCGTTATAGCGGTTCTACCCTTCACGACGCAGACATGGCAGCCGAGAAGGACCAGCAGAAGGATGGCGAGGCAGAAGGGCTGAGCGCCACGTGAGAAGGCCCACCTGATCGAGACCCTCCCGGGCCCTCCGTCTCCCTCCTCCCTCGGGTCCCAGGAATCCAGGCCCCCGGACACTAGAGTCTGGGCCTCTGGTCTCCTCTTAGAGGCCTTGGAGTCTGGGCCCTCAGCCCCTTCCCCTAGCGTCCGGGAGTCTTGCACCCATAGCCCCCAGGACCCCCGAGTCTGGGCCTCCGCAGCCTTCTTGGGCTGGGGGTCCGGCTCCCACTGACCTGGTCCTGCCCCCGCCCCCCAGGACGCTGCTGCCGAAACTGATCCCCTCCGGCGTGGGCCGTGAGTGGCTGGAGCGGCACCGCGCCGCCATCCGGCCCTGGGGCGCCTTCGTGGACCAGCGGTGCTTCTCGCGGCCCCGCAACCTGGGCGAGCTGTGCCAGCGCCTCGTACGCAACGTGGAATACTACCAGAGCAACTATGTGTTCGTGTTCCTGGGCCTCATCGTGTACTGCGTGTGAGTGCCTCCGCCAGGCCCGCCCGCCCCGGCCCGCCCGTCCGGGCCCTCCCGCACCCTCCCGCTCCGGCCCCTCCCTCACCGGCCAGGCGCCGCCCCCACCGGCCAGGCCCCGCCCCGTCCGCCCGGGGACTCCCGCACCGGCCAGGCGCCGCCCCCACCAATTCTTGCTGGTCGGTCCAGCCCTCAGTGGCCAGGCCCTGCCCCCAGGGGATAGTTCTGCCTCTCTTTCACCAAAGATCTGGTCCCTGCTTCCCAATCAGCCTGTCCAAACGTGACCTGAACTTGCCAGACCTCAGGGACATAGCCGCCATCCGCCCGTGTAGAAGGTCCGCGCCCCCCCTGGTTGGGCCATCCCCACCTGCCTGACCGATGCCTCCCTATCCCGCAGGGTTACATCTCCCATGCTGCTGGTGGCCCTGGCCGTCTTCTTTGGTGCCTGTTACATCCTCTATCTGCGCACACTGCAGTCCAAGCTTGTGCTTTTTGGTAAGAAATCCCCTGCAAATGGATCCCTAGGCCCTCAATCCAGGTCCCTTGGAACAAAAGCCTTAGAACCAAACCCAAGTCTGCCCACGCCTACATCGACCCCAGTCCCCCCCACCAAACCCTAAAATCTCAGACACACCAGATGCTCCACTCAGTCTCAGCCACCCACATTTTTATTCCCCAGACTTAAGATAAGATACTCAGAACCCACTCTCCATCTAGCTGCTTAAACCTCTTTGAGGAAAGCATCAGCTTGTATATACCCACGCTGGACACCAGGTGGCGACGTGGCGCTGCCTAGATTTGTCCCTATCCCTGTCCTGCCTGTAGGGTAGGATCAGAAAAATCTTGAGGGGGAGGCTGATGTGATCCCATACGGGCACCAGGCACTATTGGGAAGAAAGGGGCCTGAGTCCCTCGGTGGGATGCTCAAAGTTTGGGGTGGGGATAGGGAGGAGTTGGGATCTGATAGGCAGGTAGTCCTACAGGGGCCTGCAAGCTATGTGCGTGACAAAGCTGGGCCGGTGGAGAGGATGGTGGGCAAGCACCGGGTGTGGAGAAGAAGTTGGGGCACAGCCTTGACCTGGTGTCAGCTGCCGCCGCCTGGGGCCTGCACATCTGTTCTAGTCTGCCGATAAGCCAGAAACCTGTGCTGTTACATGACGTCGTTTGGTTTCTCTGTCAGCCTCAGGTCAAATTCTAGGGGGACATTGTGCATTTACAGGTCAGGTGTGGCCCTTGGGCCACCAGGTTGAGGCTCCTGGTCTGCGTGAGAGCAGGTTGGAGCGGGAGACTCTCATCTGGGGGCGTGGGAGTTGGGAGCTTCCCAGAGGAAGTGGGTGGGAGACAGGGGATCAGCTGGCGAAGATGTGCTGTATTCTGGCAGACAGTGAAGACACTGGAGCCACGTTGAGCCTGGGCTTGGAAGGCCTTGGCATGAGGACTGTGGGTGATCCTGAGGCTCCCACCGGACTGTTGGGGGGCATTCAGGGTTACTCTGGGAGAGAACAGCTGCCCCAATGCTGTCTGCCCCCCAGGCCGAGAGGTGAGCCCAGCCCATCAGTATGCTATGGCGGGAGCTGTCTCCTTTCCCTTTTTCTGGCTGGCTGGCGCAGGTTCGGCCGTCTTCTGGGTTCTGGGTAAGTACAGGGTCTGGGGAGTGGGGGTGGGAGGTGGGGACCAGGAGAGGGAGCAAGGCCATGAACTTTCCATTTTTCTGCAGGAGCCACCCTTGTGGTCATTGGCTCCCACGCCGCCTTCCACCAGATCGAAGCCGTGGACGGGGAAGAGCTGCAGATGGAGCCAGTGTGAGAGGTGTGCCAGCTTCCAGAGCCAGCTGCCCCCCCTGCCCCTACCCGCACAGCTCTGCCCTTCCAGCCAGCAGCCGCCTTCCCATCATAAGCCCAGGGGACCAGCTTTGGAAATAAAGCTGTGGTAGTTGTCATTCAGCACATACCATGCTCTCCCTGGATATTTTGTGGGTCTGTGCGGGGTGATGCTGGGAAACCTCCGAGACGAGGCAGAGGGGGCCTGCCGATCGGGGAAGACAGTAGGCAAGGTAATTAAGTAAAATATGCGAGCATGGCTATGGTGGCAGGTGGAGGGAAGAGAAAAGAATTGGGAAGGGAGACTGTGCCGGTGCTCAGCTGTGGGTTATTGTGAAAAGATACAAAGCAAACTGGGCAAAGGATAAAGGCACACGGGTGAAGTGGAGAGGAAACCAGGCACAAGCGGAGGCACAGGGCGTGCTCCTTCCTCCAGCGTGACCTGTGGCAGCACGTGGGGAGGGCTTCGGGAAGCCCCTGAGCGTCGGTGCCAGGCTTTCCCCTGGGGCTGGCACAGAAGCCCTCTGACACGGACCCAGGAGGAAAGGCGTGTTCCGCATAAACAGCATTTGCACAAACAGTTTAGCCAGTGAGCCACTCGTCAGGGGATGGTGGGAACTGTCCTGAAACCAAGTTCCCAGGTGCCAGCCAAGGGCCAGCTCCCCAGGCAGGCCGCTCTAAGGACAGCCTTCTCGGGCCTGCTATATTAACGGCATAGAGAACGTTCTGGAGTGAAGACCCAAATAGTGAGGGAGCAGCTGCAGATCCTCGGGAGAAAGGATGTTCTGGGCAGAGGCCCGGGGGTGGCAGTGTTTCGGAGGTCAGGAATGGGGAGAAGGCCGGTGGCTGGAGCAGCTGAGCTGGGGAAATTGGGAGCCTGGTCCTAGACTGTTTGGCTCAGTGGATAGAGCATTGGCCTGCGACTGAAGGGTCCTGAGTTTGATTCCAGTCAAGGGCACATGCCTGGTTGTGGCTTGATTCCCCAGTAGGGAGCATGTAGGTGGCAGCCGATCAATGATTCTCATATTTCTTTGTCTCTCCCTCTCTAAAATCAATTTAAAAAAATAAAGAAATTGGAAGCCCTGCAGGCTCTGGTTTTACTCTTGAGACAAAAGGGGACAGGAATTGCTTCTCGCTGTAATGTGAAGACTGTCGTGTGGAAGTACTGACAAAAGGGGGAGGCATTAGACAGATATGACAACAATATGAGGGGACAGAGAGGGCCTGAAAAGCTCTCGTTGGGCCTGATCCCAGAGGGCTCTCCGAGGAGGTGACATTTTGGTGAGCCCTGAGGGACATGAGCTAGCCATCGGAAGGGCTGGGCCTCTTCAACAGAGGCATGGCCTCTTCAACATCGTATCATCACAAAGCTCATGTTCACCACTGATCCAGCAAATGTTATCAAGTGCCCATTGTGGACCCAGCATCATTTTAGAACCCTGTCAATTACGAGAGCCATCAGCCACATGTAGCTATTGGGTACCTGAAACATGGCTGGTCCCAACTGAGATGTGTTGTGAGGGTAAAACAATAGATTTCAAGGACTTAATAGGACAAACATGTAAAAAGCCTCAATCTTTCATATTGGGTATGTACTGGAAGGATAATACATTAGATATACTAGTTTAAATTGTTTTCTCCTTTTACATTTACTTTTCATAATTGGTTAGTAGCATATGAAAAGCTACATTTGTGGTTCAGATTCTGTTCCTACTGGACTCGCTGGCTAAGATGCTGAGGAAGCGTCAGAGTGGCAGGTGCCCACATCCTCTCGCCCGGAGCCCATATGCAGTGGAAGGTGCAACACACGGGCCAAACAGCCAGCACCAGGGAAGTCTCACTCACTCGTACGCAGTCTGAAGCCAGTAAAAGGGGATTGGGTGAGCTCTGGCGTCAGCCTGCGGACGGAAGGGTCCCAGGTTCAATTCCAGTCAGGGGCATGTACCTAGGTTGCGGGCACTTCCCCAGTGGGAGGTGTGCAGGAGGCAGCTGACGATGTTTCTAACTCTCTCCCTCTCCCTTCCTCTCTGTAAAAAAAATCAATAAATATATTTAAAGGGGGGGGGAGGATTGGGTGAGACGAGAAAGCAAGGGCAGGGCCTTGCTGGGCAGTGAAAAGGACATTGCCTCTTCGGGGTGTGGGGGAAGAGTATTCCAGCCAGAAGGACCAGCAAGTGCAAAGGCCCTGAGGTCGGCCGTGCTCAGGAGTGAGGGGACAGCCTTAGGAGATGATGTTGGGGCCAGATCACGCAGGACCTGCAAGCTGTGTAAGGGCTTTGAGGAGCAGGGAGTGGGCAGGGTCAAGAATGAGCATTAGAAATACCCCTTCAGGGTGCTGTGGGGACGGGCTGGAGGGAGTGAGACCAGGGAGGATGAGCCAAGCTGGGGAAGATAAGGCAGGGACGTGGAATGTAGAGACAGGGAAGGTGGGTTAATGAAGAACAGGGTGAGGACTGGGTGACTGACCTGCGTGGGAGAGTGGAAGGGAGCAGGCAGGGATGACCCCCACATTTCAGGCTTCCAGCCACATGGAAACACCAGGAGGCCTACCGGGGACGCGCTTCCAGTGGCAGCCACCAGAGGGCGGAATGTGCTTCCTCCAGAGTCCAGATCTCCAAGGAGGGAGCCAGAAATGGATCATCCTGGAAAAGGAGACCATACCTGAGGCCCAGAGTCAGGCACCTGGGTTACTCTGAGACCTGCATCCCCAACCCCATTTTGGAGGTAGCAGGGAGCGTTTTGTCCATTGATTCACATACCAGTGTTCCTGGGGAAGATCAGTTATTCACACCCAGGGGCTGGGGGGTCACTGCATCCAGGTTAGGCTGCTGGGCCTGGAGTGAGTATGGTCAACTGCCTGGTTGGAGGTGACTGGGGGCCCAGGGCCTGGAGCTGAGGTCACTGAGGCAAGTGGTCAGCAGCCTGGGCCAGGGGCAGTGCGAGGCTGAGACTCAGTCCAGAAGTTAGTCTGGGGGTGACTGACTGCAGCCCCTAATTGAGATGCTGAGACCATTAGATCCCATACAGGGTTGTCAAGGCTTAGGGACCATTTCCCATCCATTCCTGCCTGAGTGACGTCGGGGTTGAGAGGTTTGTTTTGGGGGCCTGGTGTCTCATCAAGGAGACAGAGACCAAAGTCTGGCTGTCAGTTTTGGTGATGGAGGCTATTGGGAGTGACCGATTAGGGGTCTGGCTGTCAACTTCGTGATTAAAGAGCCTGTGGGGCCCTAATCGGTTTGGCTCAGTGGATAGAGTGTGGGCCTGCGGACTGAAAGGTCCCAGGTTCGATTCCAGTCAAGTGCATGTACCTTGGTTGTGGGCACATCCCCAGTAGGAGGTATGCAGGAGGCAGCTCTCTATCCCTCTCCCTACTTCTCTGTAAAAAAAATCAATAAAATATTTTTAAAAAGAAAAAAAGAGCCTGTGGGCCCCGGTTTGGTGTGACGGGGACAAAGGACCCAGTTGTCCGGTATGGCAGGTCAGAGCCAGGGAGCGCCTCCCCTCCTTCTGGCAGTCAGACTGCGTGTCCGGTTGTCTTGTTGGGGCTGAGAATCAGGTTTCTGGTCCGGGGTAATAGAAATAAGGGATCTATTGCCAGCTTTGAGATGACAGACTGGTGGTCACTTATCTAGCATGGGGTGACAGAGAAGGGGGCTGTTGAGGCCTGGGTGTCAGGTGGCAAATTGGGAGTGATGACGCCAGAAGTCCGGGCCCTCGTTTGAGGTGACATGGTAGGGTGCCCCCTTGGCTGGAGGCAAGCTGACGGGGACCTGGTTGCTTCCTCGAGGCACTAACACTGTCTAGTGTCCTGTTGTGTAATTTGGGACAACAGATATTAGGGGTCTCGTTGCCTAGTGTGAAGTGACAGTGACTGGGAGGATTCTGTTGTTTAGTTTGGGGACTATCTGCTTGTCTAGTTGGTCTGAAAAACACAGTGCATCTAGTTCTCAGATTAAGTGACAGATTGGGGACTCTTTCTGGTTGGGAATGACAGCCACGGAGTTGTTAGTGGTGTCAGAGACTACAGCTCTTGTCAAGGTTGGGATGATAGGGGATGGAATTCTAAGGTTTAGTTTGGGGTGACAGACTTAGGGTCTGATTATCTAGTTTGGGGTAACCAAAACTGGAGCTTCTTTAGGGATTGGGGCCTAGTCTCTTTTGGGGTGACAGAATGGTAGTCTAGTTGCTGGATGATTTTAAGGTTGAGATGCCAGACTGAGCATTCAATTATTAGTTTGTAGTAACAGAAATTGGGGGTCTGGTGGGCTCTATGGGGTGTCTAAGACTTGTAGTTTCATTTTGGATGCCAGAGACACAAGGCCAATTGTCTTGGTTGGGGTTACAGAGACCAAGGGACTGGTTATCTAGCTTTGGGTGATGAATGACAGTGGGGTTCAGAGCTTTGGTTTGGGATGAGAGACAGTGGGTGATCACTGGGCTAGGTTGAGGTGACAGACAACCAGGTCTGTTTCCTAGTTGAGGTGACAGACCTACTGAGGCCTACTGTTGGGCTTGGGGGCAGAGATTACCGATGTGGTTGTGGTTGATATCTCAGAGGATGATGGGTTTCTGTGTTTAGTGTAGAGTCGCAGAAGCTGGATGCCCAGTTGGCTAATTTGGGAAGTCAGAAGTGGGGAATTGCCCTAGCCCATTTTGCTTAGTGATTAGGGCGTCGACCCTCAGATTGAAGGGTCCCAGGTTCGATTCCAGTCAATGGCACATACCTTGGTGGAAGGATCAATCCCCAACCCCAGTCAGGGCTTGCGCAGTAGGCAACCAATCGATGTGTCTCTCTCACATTGATGTTTCTCTCTCTGTATCGCTCTCCTTCCTTTCCACTCTCTAAAAATCAATGGAAAAATATTCTCCTCACGTGAGGGTTTTTTAAAAAGTGGGGTTTATCACTCATTTGTGGATAATAAAGAACATTATAAACTGATGAACCAAAAGATAGATATAAAGACAGTATATCAACAAGCAGACTGT